GTGGGGGTGGGGGGAGGACCAGGGAGGATGATTCAACCACTAGATGTCGCTGAAAACAACAAATCCTACACACTGTGCCTTTAAATGTCTTTCTAGTATCATTATTAAATTCCTTAATCTAATTTAGATTCTGTCACAATACCATTAAATGCAGAAATGATGGTAATATTTTAGGAAAAATGCTCTAGTTTGGTTGGTTTTGGAAAAAAATAATTTGAATAATACCTCTTCGGGACCATATTTTCAGAGAGGTAACAACATTTAGCTCCTAGTTTAACTTTAACAAGCTCTTGTATTGAAGACTCTGTGCTGCAGTGACATTTAAAAAAWTTTTTTTGGGGTGGGGGAGGTTAACTTTAGGCATATTCTGCACTGATCGTGCACTGTGGCTCTGCTTTTGCAAAGTGCTGCAGATCCTTTGCTGCTAAATGGTAAAATGCTGCATTTCGTCTTGTTTTTAGGCACTATTCAATTCTTAAGGTGACAAAGAAGGAACCCAGTCTTGGCTACACTCAGTAACCAATCCAGCAGGGTTTTGTTTTGCTTTGATTGTTGCAAATCGGATTGAGAAACAGCTGATTGATTTATTCATTGATTGGTTCATTTTTTTTTAAAGGCTCGAGGAAAGAGAGTAACAAGACAGGCGGCAGAAGGCACAAAGTTTCTGCAATGACGTTTTTGTAAAGATTTAGAGGGGATAAAATGGATTTTAAGAAGAAATTGACAGCATTAGTCAGATCTAATTATTTTGTATAGAACAGCTGAAATGTGAGCAAAGGGATTTTCTTTACGTTGTGTGAGGATGTTTGTGTCTCTGTGACAGGCTAAAATACCAGCAGGGTTGGGGTCAATCTATTCAGTACACTGCAGAAACTGTCCATCTTACCAAGTTTTAAAATCTTATATCAGCCAAAACGTCTTTTTGATCTTGTTTTGAGACTGGTTTACTAAACAAGAACTGATTGTGTAAGAATAATAACATTTTGTTTTCAGAATGTGTAAGATTATTTGTCTTGTTAGTCTGAAAATTTGACTCTAATTAAGTCAAACATTTCTGCCAGTGGAGTAAGAACATTTTACTTGGTAAGATTCTTGAAATACTTGATTTGACTCAATTTTTTTCTTATTTCAAGAATAATCAAGCGCCTCTAGTGCTTACTCCACTGGCAGAAATGTTTGACTTAATTAGAGTCAAATTTTCAGACTAACAAGACAAATAATCTTACACATTCTGAAAACAAGATGATTATTCTTACACAATCAGTTCTTGTTTAGTAAATCAGTCTCAAAACAAGATCAAAAAGACTTTTTGGCTGATATAAGGTTTAAAACTTGGTAAGATGGACAGTTTTTGCAGTGTAAAAAAAAGGACAAGCAGGATAACCACTTCTTAGGGGTTGAAAACAGATTAAAGAATGAACGCTTCAGTGTAGATTTTAAGTCAACAGGAAATAAATTGACCCCCACCCTGAACGAGCACTCCAGTGCTGCTCGTACGACTAGCTAGTTGTGCTTCGTAAGGCTGAATACATGTTGTCCCARGTTAGCCTCTGCACATATTCAGACCAACATCGGTATAAAATTTTCTTTTCACTGAACATATTTCACAAACAGCAACTCATTAGATGCAACTTGAGCCATAATGGCCAAGAARGAAGCATACCCTGAAACCAGCTTGAGTAATAATAATAATGCCCCAAAGTGTTTTGTTTTTTTGAAGTCTGGCAGACACCACAGACGTGAGGCCAGAAATGGGCACTTCAACACCCAGAAGCAAAAGGAATCTGAGATATACGAAACAGAGGAGACAAAAGTAATGTTTTGTTTCCTGTCTTACTGTGTGAGGAGCTGACAACAAACCCTGGTCCAGTGGAGAAGCGTTACTGTACGATCGGCATACAGCTACATTCAAATTCCCCCGAAAAACAAATCAGGTTAAGAGCTGAAGATGTTCTCCGTCGATAGATGCAACAGAGATTTGGTTGAGCACGGTCGTCCAGCCATGGTTTGTAGTTTATACTGGGCACAGATGGAGAAAAACAACAAGAAGCCAGCAGCGCTCTGCCTGGATAACTGGCTTTGTGTTCATCAGTTTCTTAGGATGCCAGGACGCTTCTCCTCAGTAGGTCCTCGTTCCCAGAATGCAACTGCGGCAGCCGCAGTTTGCGTCTGCCGGAGCGCATGTCTGAGTCGCTCTGCTCACCGTCAGAGTAGTACCCGTCAGTCTCAGCAGTGTCCAGCAGGGACGTGCTCTTCCCTGCGAGAGGCAGGTCCATGGACTCCAGCCCGCCTAGTCCTCCCCTCTCTCTCGATTTACCCTGGCGGACCAGGCGGGACCGCAGAGCCCCYCCCCGCAGCATCGCTCCAGCATCAGGCACTGTGATTCCAGGGCTGGAGGCTGGAGGGGGGGATGAGTTTGCAGTGAAACCAGGTCCAGCCCCCGAAGCGACACCGTTCCCCACGTGGATGCTGTCCCATAGACCGTAGTCCTCAGAAATGTGGCAGGAGTCCATTTTGGAGATGGGTGGTTGTGGTGGTGGGTCCTTGTGAAGGTCGGAGCTCCTGGTCTGGTGGTGATGAACGTGGTAGTGCGAGGTCRTGGAAGAGCCCCGGGACCGTTCCCCTTTCCTGCCCACATGGCTGGACCTGTCCTCGATCRCACTCGCCCACAGGCTCCGAGCCGTGGAGGGGCTGCTGGCGCTGGAAGCAGCCGCTGCAGGCAGGGGCTGAGCGGGCGCCGTGCTCTGACCCCGACCACAGGGTTTACTGGTTCCTCTGGATTTGCGGCCCAGCTGGGGGGTCTTCCAGGCTGACTGCATGGAGTTCTCCATCATGAGGTTCAGGAGGCTCTCCTCGCCCTGCATTAGCTGAATGAAAGGAGGAAAAGACAGGTGAGTTTAGGACCAGCAGGTAGTGAAGATGAGATCAGTTGATGTTGGAGGTCTAACATTTTGATGGGACTCCCCTTAGATCTAAAACTGATCTGAAGGTCAGTTAACTGGGGCCCTATTGTGGGTCAAAGTATTAAAGGGATCCCTGATTAGTTATAACATTAGACTTTATTTAATAAACATATATTTTAACTGTAAAATAAAGACTGTAAAAAATAATAAAAATTATAATAACTTTAAAAATTATTATTTTTTTAAGGAGGACAACAGAGCTGCTTCATGGAAGAAGAACCTCAGCTTAGCCTGTTAGGCTTCGTGCTAGCACTGACACTATATTGCCTTATATGTATTAGCTCGGAGCTAGCGCGACAAACAAGCCAAACTGTTGGCCTCCATCCATATTTTCAGTTCCAGGCTGAGTCATTTCTACCTTCTCCTCTCTGTCAACGCTCTCTGGTTTCATTTAAAAGAGTCGATCATCAGATATTGTCCAAGATTAACCTTCAGGGTGGATATAGCTCGCTAGCAGCCTCGCACCGATGACCTATCCACGTCATCATTTACCCAGAATGCTTTGCGTATAAATAAAATGGCTCTGTCCGTGTTAAAATATATTTAAAAAAATTTACAAAACTAAAAATCCTACAGTATTTTTACAYTCTTTATTTTACAGTTAAAATAAATGTTTATTAAATAAAGTTTAARGTTACAACTAATCAGGGATCCCTTTAAGAGTAATCAAATTGAACCTAAAATAATTAAAAGCATATTTCAGTAACTGTTATAAGATATTACCCAAAGTAGCTACAAATAAATACCAATTAGACTGGTTATCATGACTTATCTTCCATATTTGGAGACCCAAGTCTCTGCTTTTGCTACATCGTTTCTCAGAAGCTGAAAGGTTTGTGCACGAGTTATTGTGTCTCCTGTCACAACTTTGTCATTAGTGACTTGGCCCCAGTTCAAAATGTGATGGACTGTTGCTAATATTTGGCACAAACTCTGGCCTGTAACTGGTCTGGTGGTTATTGTTGTTTTGGATGTCTGCAGTGAAAGCATGACTCAGCTCAACAGGCAGCCAAGTCGCCATATTTCAAGCCCTACCTGGTCAGASAGCAGGCTGCCGCTTTTGTCGTGATGCTGGGCACCCAGAGCCCACTGGCTCAGCATGTCGTCAGCAGTGATCTGGACTGACTGGGCGAGCCAGCTGTCGAACAGAGAGTTGTCCAAAGGAAAGGACTTGGATAAACCTAAAGAACAAGTCGGAGGAACAGCGGGGAGAGGTGTGAAAAAAGTTTGACATGAAGAATGAAACGGAGAGGAGGAAGAACAAAACATACAGGTTAGGAGCTTTAGAATAGTCTTTACTGTTAATGCATGAGTCTGTACAACAAAATGTAACATCGACATARACAACACCAGCCATATATACAGTATATATACAGACTAAACCAGGGGTCTGCAACCTGCGGCTCTGGGGCCACACGTGGCTCTATGAACATGTGACCAAACAACATTTTTTTTGGTTTTTATACTCAACACTAATAAATTTTATATAAATATGTGATCAATACTACTAATACAAAAATACTAATACAAAAAGTAAAACATGTTAGCTCATGCTAGCCTGTTTTCTACCCAAATAATCCAACTTCTTTCTTTAATCTTTCTCTCAAGTCCATCAGGGTTATCTTTAAACACCTTTAGGACTATATAATAAGAACAAGGAAAAAAATGTCCGACTAGTTCAGCTGTACTAGTTTTTATGAAATTCTGTATAAACGGTCAGTACTGTTCTCATGCATATGTTTTTTTTTTCAGTCTTGAAGTGTAAAAATAATAATACATAATAAAATTCACAACATATTTTTTAGGTTTATGTCACCTCCACCGGCCATAAAGGCTCACAAAAAGGCCTTGAAAAGGCCCATGGACCACCAGTTGATAATCACAGTTGTAGCTTATTTTGCGGCTCTGGGCACATTTTATTAGCGAGCCAAGGAGCAGAAAGGGCTCTTTTGATTGTAAAGGTTGCAGACCCCTGGACTAAACCAATAATAAAGTAGTTCCTGCACTCAGGATGTTTGGCTGGTGTTCAGAGTCCAGTTGGCTCATGATGGGATAAAACTTTACAGAAATTAACTAATAATTTTAAAATAAGCATAACTGGAGGGTAAAACATAGCATATAATGACATCTAAATGTATTAACAGTAATCAAAGAGATGCTTTACAAATAAAAACGTGCCTTTTCTGTCATTTGAACAAAAATTAAAGTAACAACTAGTTTAAAAGCTGAAATTTAAATGACAGTCTCCAGTTTTTCCCTCATCTTTGGTGCAGAAACATGTATGTGGGAGGCTGCAAACAATGCTCCCTGCTTTTTAAGTGTTTGCTTGTGTTTCAGTATAATTAGGAGATTTTCACGGCTCCTTTGAATCGCTATTGGTTGTGAGGAGTGCTGCTAATGTATCACATGACCGTCTGTGGCATTTTATTTATTCTAATAAACTCTTACACAACATATTGTATTTAATGTTGCCACCATTTCACTCCATACAAATTTACTGACTGAAAGAACATTTTTCACTTCATCCAGCGAAGCTCTAGGGTTTCTACTTAGCTAATTCTGCTAATAATCTGTGAACTATGCAAGGAGACTGTCATTGTCTAATTAAATAAATATCAGAAATGCTCAGAGTTTGAATAAAACTTTCTCCATCCTGCTTGTATTTTGCCTGCCTATAAGGAAGTGCCGAGCAGAACAGCAGGAGGTGCTGTTTGAGTGCGTTTAACACCAGCTATCCCACACATGCACAGTGAGCCGGTTGTTTCCATGACGCAGCACGTCTCTGCAGAAATCAGGAGAGCTCTGAGGGAGGGAATAGGTGACGAAGGGGAAAAAAATACAGATACGGCGAAGGAGTGTGAAGCCGACAGGAAGGAGGGACAGAGGAAACCAGATTAGAGTTTAGAGAAGGAAGGAGAAAAACCTGAACACCTTAGTATTTAGAGTTTAATGTTGATGTATTTCAATATGGTAACACTAAAAACTGTTTTTTTTTTTACAAAGAAAATAAATCTTACTTGACCTTTCCCCCTCCCTTAACATATTCTTATAAAATTAGCATCAAAAGTAAATTAATTAATGTTTGGTAGATTGTTCCTTTGTTGTAACAATGCTTGTTAATAATAAATCTGGCACCATTGGAAATCCTGTTAATTTCTCTTTTAAATGCCACATTTGTAAGGGACACATATTTGTGGGATGAGCAGTATAGCTGAGTATGTGGGTTGTGCACATGAAAAATTTATCAAATCTTCTTTGCCAAACAGTTTATTTTGTTATTGAGTCTTGTTTTGAGCTTCTGGTACCTCCAGGTGCTAATATAAGATTTATTGTCAAGATGCATCGTTGCAATAAAGAAATAATCTACCAAACACACATTTAATAATTTTTTGTGCTAAGTATACTGTATATATCAATAAAATATTTGTAAAATGTCACGAAGTCCTGGTCTTTATTGACAAAAAACAAATCTTGGGGAGTAAAATTAGCTTTTTTTGGATGGTATAATTATTTATAGGACTTCATAGAAAAGGCTATACCTACAGCAATACTAAACTTTTCAGGTAGAAAAACTTGTTTTTATGTGTTTAATCAAAAAGTAAATGCACCAATTTGTAATTTGCAAAGATCAAAATATCCATTCTTGACTTTAATACCTTTTTTATGAACCAAACTATTTTTTAAAGGGGCAAT